GCTATCCGCGTCGAAACGCTAGTTAAATCTTCCATCTTCACTGGTGCCGTAAGTTCTGATAATACCGATTTGTAGGTTAGATGGAAGGACGACCCTTATTACGCCTATGAGGGAAAATAAAGAAATATATTTTAAAAAATATTTCATAAAACTGTGATGGGATCAAGACAAAGAAAATAAGATATTAGTACGCTATAACATTTATCTCTGTGCATATTTTGAAGGAAGGAGTTCGTTAAAATTTCTCAACTACCTATAATATGAGGTCTGCTGTCTGTTCCCGAAACTGTTAGAAACGTTCGCATCTCTGATTAGAAACGTTCTCTCGTATTTACGACGGCATTCGAAATTCAGTCCACACTAGGAAGATGGTTAAGGAGAATTCCTGAATACGAAACGTCAAACGCAAGATTTATCAGCTGCTGTCAAAAGCCGCAGTTTCGATTTACTGCTAAGATACTGTAAATATCACCTTTATTACTAATATTCATCTATAATCAAATGCTATCAATTTACGGAGATTTAAATTGTGAAAAGATTAACTTTAAAAAAAAAACTTTAAAGACACTGAACAAAAAACAAAAGTTTAGCCATAGCTATCAGAATTGTGGAACGCTGCTGATGGACAACGGTGCATTAAAATAGTTTTGGCACCATTTCTTCATCTAACGTTTTCACTGAAGCTTTCCAGGAAACCGGTCTAGATGGTGGCATCCAGCATGACGGTGTGCTTTACTTAGCCATGCGGACCCGTTATTATCTCCGTAGTAAACAATAATAACAGACATCCTTAAATCTTCAACGCATATCAGTTTAGGAAAGGGAATATATTGTCAGTACTCGAGTAATAGGGGAGTGCTGTTCTGGTGAACCTTCAGTCAAGTACCTAATCTACAGAAATCGTTAGATCGATCGATAGTGTTACTACTGATGAATGAAATCTGACCAGACCAGTTTAAACCAACAGACGCAGTCTTAATTTCATCTATGATTCGGTAATTACGCGGAACGAACAGAGTTATCGTCCGTGCAATTTCTAGAAGAAAAAACAAATTTTTCAGCACACCATGTCAAGGCATCATTTTATCGCCCGCATCGTACTCTGATCTGCACAGCTAAGACATAGGCTTAGGCGTCGGCCGAAGGACCAGTGACGTAAATGGAAATAAATTAGCATCTTTTATGTCATTAAAATCGTAGCAGACCAAAACAGGGAGTAAAGTCAAATGCTCTACGCACATGAAAATGCATGTTCAGTTATCTAGTGTTCTAAAGATGGCATAAATCTAAAACCAGAATACTTTAGATCCAAATAAAATCACGATTATCGACCTCAGCAGTAAGTTTGGCATCCAAATTCATAAATTCATAATCAGCCACAAAATGCACCGAAAATAATTCACATGCTGAGGTAAAAGTAGAGGCGTTTTTGCAAATTGGATGCTTCGAGCGTAGGCACAACTTTCCGAGCAATAATCATGAAAAATATTAGAAAAAATTATAAATACTAGAAAACTCACCTTCGATCTCGTTCAGGTGCTTTTCAGTGTTTTCCAGTAACCTGCCGGCTTGCTGCCTCAACGATTCCGCTCGTGCCTTTTGCTCATTGTTGTTGCCGATTCTCTCCTGCAGCAGCTCCTGGGTCTTGTTGTACTCGATTTCCAGAACTTTCCGCTTCTCCTCCGTCTCCTGTACTTTATGGCGCGTCGTATCGGACACCGTAAGCGCGTGCTCCACGTCCCGTCCGATTTGCAAGTACTCAACCTCCACCTTTTCCATGTCTTGTTTCAGGCCATACAACGACTTGGACGACTCGTTGCTAGTCTCTTCAGCCAATCTAGTGTCCGCAAGAGCCTAAAGTTCAAATCAAACAAATAAACAATTCATCATTCATTTTAACATAAACAAGGTAAAAAACCGAACTCTCTGAAACACTAAATTTTTGAAACCCATTTCAATTCTGCGTCTTGTTCCGTAAATTGTCACTATTTCCAAAAACAAGGAAACAGACAGACGACAGTTTTTGACTACGGCCGATGTTTTAGTCAGACTACATCTGCAATACCATGAGATGGAGATTTAAGTTTAGTAGCCGCGCCCAGAGTGACGTCAGCGCTTTTGACAGTGTTATGAACAAGCGAAAATCTGGGCGTTCCGATGGGTGCAAATTAGCTCAATGCAATCTTACAACAGATCTAAATGAACCACTTTAAAATGACAGTACCCAAACTTTGTCCCCTTATAGACTGAACCACAGCTCTATTTTCCCTATACACATGGCATTTTCTATTATATAAAACTGATGCTGTCAATATAATCTTAGACTATTAATTCACTGGATACTACTAAGTCATATTCGCATCGACGCAATGGTACAACAATGGCTCCTTCGACCTTAACGATTATATAAAGCCACGAACTCCAGTAGATATTTAAATTATGCTTTTTGCAGCATCCATACGGCT